TTCTTCTGGATTTGTTCCAGTTTGTCCTTCCTCAAATGTATTGCCTGGAACTGGATGCAATAAATTATCTTTGGTATGATTTTCCAAAAGGTCAGTGAAAAACTCTGCAAAGCCTTCTAAGCGTGGCCGGGCCGTAGACAGATGTATCCAAACGTGTTATTTTTGTAGGACATTTGCATGTATCCCAATCTGATCAAGCAAAATGTTATTTCAATAAATTCAGTGCGTCCCTAGTGACTTGTTCCATCTGTTTCCTAGTTAATTTGGCAGACCCTCTTGTGTTTATGCTTGCGTGAATGGCAATGATGAGAGATAGGAGGAATGAGGTAGCTCAGAGAATGTTCAACTGCTGAGAAAAAAAAGAGATTGCTAACCCAATTTCTCGATCTGGGTAGTCTCCAAAAATATTGACTTCGATACCCGAATCCTCATCAATATCCATGGTGCTTAGGGGATTGTGGTAGTGGAAGTCTACACCTAGCTATGTATAAGCTTCCATCATTATGAGAGCAAGCAACTAACTTGGAAAGGAGTAAGGTTCTCCTCGCACATATGTGCTAATAGTTTGCAACTCTAGGGAGTGGCGTTCAACTCCGTTTCAAAGCCGAAGAGCCAGCGCTGTCCGAAGATGTCTCCATGGACATTTGGCCGGCATGACTAAATGCCAAAAGCACATGGAACGCTGTTACCATCCCACCAAAGGTGGTTCCTATTTTTCTACTTGCATTTTTACATGCTTTCAAACTGCTAGGTTGGCAGAAGCTGGGACAAGTAACGGGAGCTCACTCCATTATGTGGCGCCAAACTGCCGAGCTTACTGATTGACAAGTTCAGCATCTTAGCCAGTGAGCCAGCATGTCACCAAATTGTAGACTACCTGTAATGTAAATAGAATTACGGCATGTTTTGCATATGTTGAAGGCTGCTTGCTGGATGGTATCAGTGTGGTACATGGAGGAGGTAAAAAATGTACAAGAATAACTGGAATCCTCAGAAAAATGGTTTAAAAGAGTAATTAGATCAAGAATGCTTGCAATCACATTAGATATGAATAAAGAAGGAAATACAGTGTAGTTTGGAAAATTGGGCTTGGCCATTCTGGCAGGAATATTGTTACGGATGTGAGTATATGTACAAATTTGTATTCAGATGATGTTGTCTGAGAACCAAAATGACTTACAGCAGAGTGTACGAGTGAAAGAAGAATATTGATCTGAAAATTAAGGTATCAAAGGCCAAGGTAGTTGTATTTGACAGGCAAAATGGGATGAATGATTGCAAGTTACATAAAATTTAACAAAAAACTAGAGCAAACCAATCCATTTGTGTACCTTAGATGGTAGCTTGTTTACAGGGGGGAAAATGGCAAAAGGGCTGAAGAAATTTTAAAGCTGGGTAAATGTCGGCAATATGCAATCTTTTGTGAGGAATCAATATTTGTCAGAATAAGCTCCAACAAGCCGTACGTAAGAGGATGCTTCTGACCACTTTACTATATGAGAGTGGGGTATGTCAGGAGAAACATCAAATGAAGTTGAGTAAAGTAGGCATCAAAGCATCAGGAGTGGATAGATGCTCTGTGAATGATGTCTGAACAGCAAATGTGAACAAGCAATATGAAAACTCTAAGTTGAAGGTGCTTTGGTCAAACAGGATAAGTGGAGACAGAATTGCAAAACAAATATACAGTATGAGCTAATAGTGATTGGACAAAAAAATAATGTGATGTTTGGAAAGAATCATGGAAATGTTGAAAACATGAAAAAGGCAGAGGTGAAAAATCTAAAGAATAAAAAGGATTGCATGGACTGGTGTATGGACCTCATAGAAGAAAGAAAATATTTCAATGATAAACTTGTACTGTACAGGGATTGGATTTGCTATAAATTATTTCAACTGTTTCCTTTTCTTATTCAATGCCTTTAATCTTTCCAGCTTACCATTCCTTACTTTTTTTCTATCTTCTGAATAATGTTGTTTCTTCTAACCGAGTCGCTGAGGGATATTTATAGATTTAAAAGTGTGTGGATTTTGTATGTGTGTGTGTTATGTATGGATATAAAATAGGAAGCCAACATTGTCCAAGATTAAGCAATAGCAATAGCGCTTAGCACTTAGACATATATCGTTTCATAGTGCCTTTACAGCCCTCTCTAAGTGGTTTACAGAGTCAGCATATAGCCCCCAACAATCTGGCTCCTCATTTTATCCCCCTCGGAGGGATGGAAGGCTAAGTCAACCTTAAGTCAATGAGATTTGAACTGCTGAACTGCAGCTAGCAGTCAGCTGAAGTAGCCTGCAGTACTGCACTCTAACCACTGGGCCATCTCGGCTCTTAGCTTTTATATAGCACAATTACTGTCTTTTTTATAACATTTCAAATGAAAGACATTCGGTATATAGAATGGTTCCACTTAGCTTCCCCCTCCCCCACCCCCCAAAGTTAAAACATTTAAGACAAATAACTAAATGTTGCAGGATCCAATCTGAGTCAGTCAACAGAACCAGAGGTTTTGTCTTCTGGGGTTTTGTCTTCTGGGGTTTTGGACTCGTGCTGGAGCCCGTCTTCAGGGAACTTCTCTGTAGCTCTCTAAGTTCGTTCTCTCTCTCTCTCTCCCCCTCTCCTCCCCCCCCTCTCTCTCAATAACTAAATATATCCACTGTGTTTTGCATCCTGTTTATCTTCCTACATAAAGTACTTCCTTAGGACGTAATTAAACAAGTCTGTTAAAGGAATAACGAAGGTAACCTTTAAGATTTATTCAAGTAGTGGAGTGTTCTCTTTACGGGAAAGAGGCATCCATCTGACTTTGTCTAGTTGGGTAAGCAAAGCAGGATCAGGACTGAATGATACGATGTTTTCCAGACAATATCACAGCAATGAACAAGATTGGGAAGAAAACAGTGACAAACACTTCCATATCATCATTATAAATAAATAAATCCTACATGAAACCAGCAGGTCATCAGGAACTGATATTTAGTCTTTAACACAATCTAGAAAAAGTAATATCACCTAAGAAGTATAACCAGGGATGAGCTGCTGGGGGTTCGCAGGGGTTCAGGAGAACCTCTAGCTAAGATTCTGTGCAGTTCAGAAAACCCCCAAATCTCATCTGGCTGGCACCGCCCATCCCACCATGCCGCTCCCAGGAGTCCCCACGCAGCCCATTTTGGATGCAGGTAAGTGCAGGGTGAGCAGGGAGGCTCAGAGAGGGTGAAAAAATGGGCCTCCCGGAAGTTTGGGAAGGCCAGAAACAGGCCCATTTCTGGCCTCCAAATGGTCTCTGGAGCCTGGGGAGGCCGTTTTCACCTTCTTGGAGGCTCAAGGAAAGCCTCCAGAGTCCAGGGAGGGTAAAAACGTCCCCCCTCCCGCCATGGTACAAGAGGCTGACTAGGCCACCATGGCCATGCCCACCTGGCAACAAGGCAAATAACTCTTTGCTAATATTTTTGAAGACCGCCCCTGAGTATAACCACTTTATTTCAACTTCAGGTGACTATTTAAAAGGATTTAAGATGATTCATATTTTGTTTTTGCATAGAAAAGTCAAAGCACTGCCGATTAAAACATAAACTAGGTAAGTCATTTAGCAACAGTCAAGAGTCTTAAGTCCTGGGTAATTTTTAAATTAAACATTGCCAAACCATTGTTGTGAAACTGATTTAGAAAATAATGCCCAGTGAAGAAAGTGGGCTTTTCCCTCAAAATATACAGTATAAATAAATAAAATTTAATGATATTTTTTTTTTTTTAAAAAAAATGCACTCTTGATCTAAAGGAATTGCAGCTTGGTCTCTGGGAACCTGTAAATGCTCTATGATAATGATTTTGCCTTAAATGGATGGTGCAGTTTAACTTTAATTAATGATAGCATAATCACTCAATGAGGTTGATTCATCTGTCACATGTTCACAAACCTGAGAGACTCACCAATGAAATGGAAACAAATGCCTTGAAAAAAATAATATTCAAACTGAATTTTTATAAGGAAGTTTATTAATTAATTAATTTAATTTATATTGCTGCCTATTCGTCCATGGTGAGTCAAGGCGGCTTACAGAATAAAAGACCACATTTAAAACAATAAAAACTAACACAAAGAATCAAATAAATTAATATACACATGTAACAAAATCATCTCCCATCTCCCACCTCCCACCTCCTACCCCGGGGACAGCAGATCACATGAGCCATTTAATGGGCTCCATCCTGCTCTCGGTTCCCAGGCCTGCTGGCAGAACCAAGTTTTCAGTGCCTTCTGGAAGAGTATTAGAGTGGGCGCCATTCTAAACTCTGGGAGGATGACGTTCCAGAGAGAGAGGGAAGACCCTTTTTATGGGTCCCACCAGGTGTATCTCCCTCGGGGATGGGACTCACAACATTCCCTGCCACCCTGCTCTGATGAGTTGGGTAGATGTGACCAGCAAGAGACAGCCCCTCAGAATTACATGAGATACTAAAATATATGCAATTTGTTTTCAAAACAAATATATCCAGTGTGTTTCCTTACCTAAGCATCTCGTTTCAGTTCCACTCCATAATCCAGAAGAGAGACATTCTCTTACCGCTGAGCCCACCAGCATGAATCCTAGGTCACAAGTAAATATAGCAGTCGAGCCATATGTAATCTGAGTCCCAATTTTATTCCCATTTGGAGGTGTAGGAAGTTCTCCACAGGAAATAACTGAAAAGAAGAAATATACATATTTGCAATATTATGTTGCACTCTCCAACAGTAAAATAAATTAAAAATATTTTTTTTAAAAAAACAGCAGTGACAATAAAAATGTTAAAACCTTTAGGACTGGCTAGGATAAGACCCATTTGAAAAAGAATCTTTAATTGGAAGTGTATTTTAAACAGTCTGTAGGTAAAGTGACAGAAAATGATACTGTGCAATGGAATAAAATTGATTTTGTGATTACTGATAGATCTGATTCTGAAAACTACAGGGAATAAAACTGGTGAATGTGCTTCATTTTAAAGCCATGAGCATCAAATGATTATGTTGACTTTATGGAAGCTTCAAGGATATTCTTATGTAGTTAAAAGTTTTATTGATACAGTCCATGGAATTTTTTCCCCCAGCAGTAATGCTTGGATGAGAATAATAGGCTTATTATCCTCATATGAAAAATCTTTCCTATTGACAAAGGATTCTAAGATTCAGTTTGCTGGTCTTCAAACCGGACGCAAGGAAATAAATGCCTATTGAATATAAGGATCAATAAGATGCCACTAAATGAACAGTTGTAGATTGGGGTCTACCTGTTCTTCTTAGTTGTTGGTCTAGTATTCTTCTTGGTGTTCATCTCTGCCTATCTGGATGTTGATTGCTGGCGAGGATGTGTTTTGGATTTGAATATGAACAACTAATAGTAGAATACTTACTTTGGCAGTATGGCCTCTCGTTTCTCCAGCTCCAAGTTCCATTAGCGAGGCATTCAATGGATTCTGGTCCCAATCCATGGTAGCCAGGATCACAGCTAAAAACTACTTTTGTTTTGTACTCATAGTGAGAACCATTCACTATTCGCCACCTTCCATGTTCCAGGGTAAATGAATTAATGCTTGGGCAGGTAACAACTTGAAATAGAAAGGGGAAAAAAATGAATATATTTTGAGAGCTTCACACTGTCAATCCTTGATATCAGTCTATGTATTAGGATATGAAACTTAATCTTAATTCATAAATTAAACCGTTGCATAGTAATCTGTAGATTGTAGCTAATTTTGGTTTTGTTTCGGCTTAACATTTTTTTGGCTACGGAGAATGTTTGTTTCATTGCTCAAAATAACTAATTAGTGGACCACATATTAGAGTTTAAACATGTTTATTTATTTGATCAGGAATATGTATCTTATATAAACATTTCTGGAATTTAAATGATTATCGTACATCTTGAAGCAGGAGATTCATATTTTAAAATGAGAATTCCTGATTTAACTTTTGACTGCTAAATTATTAACATCAGCAGAATCGTATCACTAGGATCTGTCCATAATTACTCTTTCCATCAGAAAATGAATATATGTCATAACTAATAAGAGAGCTTTTTCCCTCCTAACACTATCCTTGGCTATAGGATGGAAAACCAGATTGCACAAACAAGTGACAAAACTTTGCAATTGTAATTACACCTTATTTCTACTGTGTTTATATCTATCTGGATTGTATTCAATACCAAAAATAATAACAGTACTTTGCCATTTAAAAAACAAAACAAAAACATCTACTTAGACTCTAAAAGAAGGCTCACCTCCAATAATTCACACAACGTATCTTTTCTAGGTAAAAGGTTTTTTTCTTCAGTACGTGTTATTGTCTTAATTGCCTTAATGGCGATGTTCCACATGTGGACATTTTCACAGCTTTTGGTGCACTTTTATGGCAAGTTCTGCAGCAGATGGCTTAAATCAGAGGTCCTCAAACTTTTTTAAACAGGGAACCAATTCATGGTCCCTCAGACTGTTGGCGGGGGGGCAGACCGGCTGGGTGGGTGTGGCTAGTTGGTCATGTGACTGGGTGGGCATGGCGAGGTCATGTGACTAGGTGAGTGTGGCCAATTTAACAGTCCATTGAACAATGCACACAAATTAAACTTTAATTTGTTTTGCTCCTGGTGGTGTTTTATTTGCTTTTGTTTGCATGTTGTTTTTTTGGTTGCCTTTTCTTTTTACTAGATTGTTTTTTTCAGTTGTTTAGGAGTCTAGTGGTCCACTTCAGGAAACTCAGTATTGCAGCAATTTTTCTCAGCCCCAAGGAGCTTGAGAAATCTCTGTCCCTCTTTCTCTCCCTCTCTCTCCCTTTCTGTATCTCCTACTCTCCCTCTGTCTCTCTCACTCTTTGTCTATCTATCTTACTCTATCTATCTTCTAGAGGTAGGGAAGGTGAAAAATGAGCCAATTTTCCCCATTTTTGGCCTCCTGAGGTTTCTGGGCACCCCATTTTTCACCTCACCCACCTCCAGAAGCATTCTGCACACCAAAAACAGGCAAAAATGGCTTGTTTTTTGGCCCAAACTGGCCCCTGGGGTCTCTGTGTGACCCATTTTTTTTAACCTACCTCACTTCCAGAACGTCTCTGCAGGCCAAAATTGTTGGCCTTATCTTTCAGTTGCAGCCCATGGGTCTTGCAAAGGTAAATCCTATGCTCAGTCGAAGGGTAGGTGGGGCGATGTGGGCGGGGCAGCCTCTTGGTCCTGCATGGGCTGGATTAAAGGTGGGCCACATGCATCCTGCGGGCTATACTTTGAGGACCCATGACTTAAATAGACCTCAAAGGTCTTTCTTTTCTCTCTGTTATACTCACTTTGATTTTAATTTCCCAATTAGCTATTTTGCTATTTTGTTTTATCTATTTTCCATTCTTTCTTGTCACTATGTCAAATGGTGGCATCCAGATATAGAAACAAAGAATGGATGGATGATGTAGATGTGTGCATATGTACATGTATCTATGTGTCTGCGCCTAGCAAAACCATCCACATACTTAGTGAATTTTGTCTGTTCCTTTATGAAATAAGCAACATTCCCTTATTCTGAAAATACAAATGGAACACTCTTTCAATCATCATTAGCACCCTCATTACCATATGCATAACTTTTGGCAATAATGAAGTTCTGTTTTGTTCATTAAAAGAAAATGAAACAAGTTTTGACTTGTCTTATTAAAGTTTGGGGCATAAAACATGCATTTTGTATTCAAAGGAGGATTCTGTTTTTTTCTGTGCTTTCGATAAGTATATAGTATCTCCCTCCAGCACTGTTTGTTTATTTCCAGTCTGATCATGATGATTTTGAATGTATAAATTCATTAAGTGAATCAATAGATTCATTAAACAAGCCTTCTCTAGTAGCTTACAAAAAACAAAAACAAAGAAAAAACCTCCAATCTAATATTTTTTAAAAAAACCAAAAACATTTGATAATTACCCTGGAAGAGCTTTTACAATGAAATGATGTAAATATATATAAGAATCATAATTTTCAAACATTCCCAGGATTGAAAAATTATCAAACAGTTAAAATCTATAATTTTAGTCGCCTTGAAAAAAAAGACCATCAGTAGGAAGACTAACTGGTAGGTACAAGCAATTTTCCCAAGCACATTATTGAAATGAGAAGGTCCTCATCTATCTATCATGTCATTTAGCTTCATCACTATTAATGAAGGATTGTCAAAGGTGTCCGAAGAATTTGGACAGAAATATATACTGTGCTTAAACTGTTCAGGAAAATAAGCCATACTTTATTTTGTAACTACAAAGGTTCCTAGTACTTAAGTTACACAAGGTGTTTTTTTTTTAAAAAAAACCTCAGTGTGTGGTTATAGGAAGATACCTTTGAAACTATGTAGTTTATATGAATTAAAGCTGGTGTAAGGCAAAACTACATAGAGTTCAGACTACAATAACTCTGGTTCCATCTCTTCTGCTAACAGTTTTTTTTTAAAGGAAAAGATTTTATGAGATGCAGCTGCATAGAATTGTTAGCTGGAAAAGAGTCTGCCAGCTTTGTGATTTCTCTTTTACAGAGAATGTCTTTTTTTTGGGGGGGGGGGGAATCTCCTAATAAACTTTTTGGACTTTTTTAAACTCCGAAATGTTGTCTGTTATAGGCAGTTCTTACTGTAACTTTAAAAGGATACAGATTAACAGAGTTGGAAGGGTCCTTGTATGTCATCTAATCGAACCCACCACCCAAGCAGACCCTACACCATTTCTGACAAATGGCATCCAGTCTCTTCTTCAAAGTTTCCAGTGATGAAGCTCCCACAACTTCTGAAGGCAAGCTGTTCCATTGGTTGATTGCTCTTGCTGTCAGAAAATTTCTCCTGATTTCCAGTTGAATCTCTCCTTGTTCAGTTTCCATCCATTATTCCTTGTCTGGCCTTCAGGCATTTTGGAAAATAGCTTGACCCCCCTCCTCTCAATATTTCACCCTCTAAAATATTGGAACACTGCTATCATATCTCTTGCCATATCAAGAGACATGACACTGCTATCATATCTCTTCACTAGATTAGCCATGCCCGGTTCCTGCAACCATTCATCGTATGTAGGAATTGGGCATGGCTAGTGTACTGAAGAGAAGGTCTAGGGGAGACATGGTAATGATGATAAATAATAAACAAGACAGTCATTATGATGATGAGCTGAGGTGGCACAGTGGTTAGAGTGCAGCACTGCAGGCTATTTCAGCTGACTGCAGTTCAGCAGTTCGGCTGTTCAAATCTCACCGGCTCAAGGTTGACTCAGCCTTCCATCCTTCCGAGGTGGGTAAAATGAGGACCCGGATGATTGTTGGGGGCAATATGCTGACTCTGTAAACTGCTTAGAGAGGGCTGAAAGCCCTATGAAGCGGTATATAAGTCTAACTGCTATTGCTATGATAAACAGGACAGGCATTAAGTGAGCAATAAATGACAACCTACAATAATATGTGTGCCACCTTCATTAAATTTTTCTTTGTTCATTAAGTTATTCTTTGAATACAGGTAGTCCTTGACTTATGACCATCATTGGGACCAGAATTTCCACTGCTAAGCAAGGCAGCTACTAAGTGAATTGCATCCAATTTTATGACATTTTTTGCCACAGCTATTAAGCAAATCACTGTAGTTGTTCAATGAATCAGCAGATCATTAATCAAATCCAGCTTCCCCCCTTGCCTCTGCTTATCAGAAGCCTCCTGGAAATGTTGCAAATGATGATCAGGTGACCTCAGGATGCTGTAACCGCCTGAGCCTAAATTCGACCACATAATCATAGAGATGCTACAACAAGCAACACTAGCATGAGGACTGCTCATAAGTCACTTTTTTTCAGTGCTGTTGTAGCTTTGAACAGTCACTAAATGAATGGTTGTAAGTTGAGGACTACCTGTGCATACACTCACTTATGTCTGTGGGATGCTTCACTCATTACCTACAATCCCTTTAAATCTATAATTATTTAGAAAGTGAAATATTAGTACTGATCTTTAACTGTTTAACAACAAAGCAAAGAAATCCTTTCTAGGTTATGCTCACCTACACAGCGAGGTGTTTTATTATGGTTGCTCCATGTGCCATCTGGCTGGCAGGATGCAGTGGTTAGTTCCTTGGAGGATAGCCGGTACCCATCATTGCAAAAGTAAGTAACGTACGTGCCTACTAAGTAATCTGTAGTTAATATCCCACCATTTAATGGAGCTTTTGGAATTCCACAGGAGATAGCTGAAACATTAACACAGGCAAGCAAAATGTCATTTGACTATACTGGAAAATTCAATTTCTATGTATATTATTTTTAATATTCAGAAATAAAACTGTAATTCAAATATGAAAATATGATTTCAGACTTCTTAAAATTCTTAAAGATGCTTAGAAGGATTAGCAAGTTTTCAGAATTTGACTACATGAGCAAATTTTATTTCTATGTTTATTATCTCTAATATTCAGAAATAGAATTCTAATTCAGATATGAAAATATGACTAAAAATGCTTGGCAGAATTGCAGCATTACAAATAATGCATCATTCAGACTTTCTGTTTCCTTTTTCACAGCCATCTGTGCTTGCAAATGAGTTTCTTCTGTGGTGGAATGTAGTCTGGATTCCAAGAGGGGGTGCTGTATATGTCCCCCCTAAAGGTTCTCAAAGTATTTTTAATTAGGCAAGTAATCTTCTTGACAAGCAATCTGTTTGGCAAGATTTGTCTACATGTGAGGAACAATAAAGAAAACTGCTTAGAACAGGGCCTGTCATATGCTGGATGAGTCATGTACTAGCCAAGGTGGCGCAGTGGTTAAAAGCAGCACTGCAGGCTACTGCTAGATCAGCAGGTCAGCGGTTCAAATCTCACCGGCTCAGGGTTGACTCAGCCTTCCATCCTTCCGAGGTGGGTAAAATGAGGACCCAGATTGTTGGGGGCAATATGCTGACTCTCTGTAAACCGCTTAGAGAGGCCTGAAAGGCCTATGAAGCGGTATATAAGTCTACTGCTATTGCTATTGCTATTGCTATTGTTGTGGCCCGCCAGCGGCCAGCAGAGCTGGCAGCAGATTCACACAGTGAAGAGGTTGGGGAGGAACATGGGCCAGTCCTGGAGTCTGGGGAAGACTCTGAAAAGTGCTCTGTGTTGGAGGCAGAGAGGGGACCAGATCCATATGCCAGTTATTGGCTGTCTTCAGAATCAGACATCAGTGAGGCAGATGAACAACTGGAGTCTGTTCCCAGTGGGTGCATACATAGAGTTGCCAGACAAAGGGAACAGCTAAGGAACAGGGGTCGACTTGGGAGTAAAGCCACAGGTGGACGATGAATGGCCCCTCCCAGAGAAAATAAAAGAGTAGCGAAAGGGGAGTGGAGTTTGCAGGAGACAATTAGTTCACTTAATTGGTTTATGACTCTCCAAGGCTCCTTGCCAAGTCTTGCAGATATCGGCCTGGCAGCTCTCCAAGCCAGATAAGTTCTGTGACTGTAAATTCTCCCTTGAAAGACTTTGCTGGATGTGAATCAGCAGAATTCACAGTAAATTAAGAAAATGGGTTTTTGTCAGGACAAGTAGTTTGCTTCATGCTCTCAGGAAGCCTAGGTCAGAACACCCATGCCAGTTTAGCAACAGCAGAAAAAGTCCCAATACGGCATGTGATGCCGGCCATGACGCTGTGAGTTTGACACCCCAGGCTTAGAAGAAACTCAGCATGTCTTTCTTAGTTTTTGGTGCCTGACGTCATCAAACTTGGTGAAGTATTCATTGCCCCTTTGCAGTGTCTGAAGCCAGAAAAACTCCCAATCTGTAGAACAGGCTTAAGTTCTATCTTCTTAGGATTCAAGTACTTTCATGTCTTTCTGACTCTATTAGATATTTTTTTCTTCATTTCAGGTTGGAAATTTGTTCTTATTAAACAATATACCAAGTATTATTTATTTAGTCATCAAAAGGTTGGGTTGGCTTCTTCTAAATAAGATTGAGGACATAACGGCTTTGGGATTTTGAGCAGAATGGGACCAAACTGAAAGAAGAAAACTACCTCAGTGCCAACACAATCTTCCAGAAGTTGAAAACTGAAGAAAATACAAAGGCATTGGGATTGGAAAGAATGATTTTTTATTTTATTTCTGAACAGGAAAAGTGAAGCAGCTTCTATAATGATGTTTTAGAAGGACTCTCGTTTCACTCTCATAAAAGCTTCAGGTGATATGTTCAACTGCTTGCTGTTTTTATTACAAAGAGCTATTTCAAAAGTATATGCATAGCATCATTGCTGGTCTCTGGGCAATCATTTGGTGAATAACACATTTCTTTTCTCATACTTTCTTTTGCAAATTATTTGCTCTATTTTCTTACTGGGTTAGACTAGCAGAATATTCCTTGATACCATTTCATTCAAGTAGTTTCTCATAAAGGTTTTCAGCATTCTATCAGAAACGTTATTCATTTCACTCAAAAATATGATGCCTCGAACAATATAAACTGAAGACCAAGGTCAGCCTATTCACTTCCCCATCTCTTTCATAGCTTTGAATTTTATACCTGCCAATCAGCATTGATAGAATAATTTATATCACTAAAAAGAAACAAAAGGGAATGTTTGTTCAAGTTTTGAAATGATGCTTCCTTGTTGCTGATGCTTGTTTATTTAATAGAAACGTTTTTTTTAAAAAATAATACCTTCGGTAAGGGGGAATGAAATCGATATGTATGTGTGGAGTATTCCTCCTCACACACACACACACACTTGCTAGAGATTTTCCTGAGGGTAAAAATAAAATCCCTGTGTCTTTGTATGTGCATATTTCCCAACCAAGTCCAATAAAACAAACTAGTTCAATAAAACTAAAGCAAAGGGGAACTATTGATTTTGAAGTTGTTAAAAGTATTCTAGAACCCATAGAGAATCATCCTTGGAAGAGTTCATATAAGGATCCATCTGCTTCCAACAATCTGGTGTTTGTAAAAATAGCTGTTGAAAGAGACACTATATTTTATTAGCCTCTTACTCCTATTTTACAACCCTAAGTAATAATTCTCACTTTGTATGATGTGCAGCGTACATGTTTAAATAACATTGCATCATGGTCAAGTTTAGCCTAAGGACAAATTGGCATTGGCTTAGGATGCCAAAGTGTTGGGGAGGAGTCAATGCCACCCCTACTTCAGAATCATGCAAATCTTTACATCAGCAGATGGTAGCACCATCAGCCAAAACAGACTGGGAATCTCATATACTGAGTTATTTATAGCATTCCTCAACCTCTTTTTTTCCAGAACTGGGTACTGCTCAGAGAATCAGGATCATCAGTTTGAAGTTCCATCCATATTGTTTAAAATGTTGATCTTACTGAATTCACTTAGCTATTCATGAAATAGTCATTTTCAGGTGGCAAAGATAACATAAAGGCCATCTGAATACTTGTAATAATGGCAAGACTCAACACTCTTACTTTTGGAAATTATTAATCGTAATTGTGGTGACAAGACAAATGGAAAGCAAAGCAAAGGCATACTGATTTATGCAGTTCTGCTAAAAGGGAGTTCTCTTTCTGTTAATCTAAGATTAAAATCAGCAGTTGCACCATCGGTGTATACATCTTTCAAAAGACAATCAAAAAGCCAAAAAGGAAACAAAAAAAGCCCAAAACACCTCCTCACCAACAGTCAACACCCAAATAAGCAGAGATTAACACTAAGACGAACATTTCTGTGTAGATTCTCAGTCATCCTGGTCATGGTTATCCACATCCATTTGCACTACTCAGGTGACCCTGACGACACTGATAAACCTCCAGGTGGCCCCAACAACTTTCTAGAAGAATGCAAATGACTAGCTGTCTGCAAGGAGTATAAATCGTTCTATTCCCCACCATCTAGTCAGAGCTGAAGAAGCTTCTTAGATGAGAAGCAAAATGTATTCAAAGAAAAATCAGAAATTCCAGTTGCCTCTTGAAATAAAGATCAAGATTAATACTAAGCAAAATATAAGAAGTAAATAAAAGTTTAATCAAATAACTACCAACTCAGACAAACAGTCTAATCAAGGAACCACCAAGAACACTCCATACTGACAGGGTAAGCCACTAGTGCCGTATATAAACAGAGAGCAAACCCCACTCCCTTCTAGCACTGATGATGTTACCTAGCTCAGTAATAAACAGCTGCAAGCATCCCACACCATCCTTATTATTAGTCAGGTTTCAAACAACTTCTGTATAAAATGTCCAAGTCAAGAGTTATTTTCTTTTAATTAAATCCCTTTAATTGAATTAAAGGGAATCCAATCCCTATGATTGATCAAACTTTGTACAAAAACTATGCATGCTTTGAGCATTGTTTGGAAGAGGTATGGCAAAATATGAATACATCACCTCCTTGAAGCCATAACTTTTTTTTTCTGACTTCCAAAGGAGTTTGCCATAGGATGCTGCTGTATTAATGAATTGCATAAAAGACATGGCTATTTTCATACATCAATTACTCAAAGAGACATTTGTTTTCCAGATTTCAGGTTAGATTACATGTGAATCTAAAAAAAAGATGCATCTGTTTTAAAAATACATTGTGCTTCCCCTTGTTTCAAAACATTTTTTTCTAAAAAGTTTTTGAAGTGTACATGGCAAATGCTACTTTCCTTTAGATCAGTGGTCACCAACCCGTGGTCCATAGATCACTAATGGTGCACGAGAAAATTTTGGTGGTCTGCAGAAAAAAATATTTGCATTTTTTTATATTGCACTAAATACTATTTATCTTTTTAAAAAAATCATATTAGTGGTCCTCAAGATTTAAAATTATGAATTTGGTAGTCCCTCAGGTCCAAAAGGTTGATGACCTCTGTTTTAGATTCAGGAAGATAAAAATAGATTTAAAAAAATTAGCCAGTTTAATTTGTGGATTGATTCACATATGTAGGCACAGACAACGGTTTATATTAGTATTGCCACTTGGGATTCCAAGAATTAGAAATGGGGGGAAAAAACATTCAAATAGTTCTGGAAAGCTGAAGTAGTCAGCAGAGCAGAACTTTATAGGACTAGGACAGACTGACCCCCAATTTTTTTTCATATAGATGCATTATGCAAGTCATAACCAAGTCAAACAGATATATTTTAGAGTCAGCTCATCTAGCAAAATCACATTGTCCACATTGCCCTTAAGTTTTCAAATACACAGGTATTTGTAGAGCATTTTGCTATTTTTATAAATCAATAAAACTTAAATAAATAATCAATATA